AGATTTTCCAACTTTTGCGCTTAGGGAAAACTTTGCGTTTGGTTTTCCTGGCAACCTGCTCACACAATGCAAACATTTAAAATATTTTATAATGCAATTGATGACATTTTTAATAAATCCTTTTTTTCTCGAATTAAATTATTTTCTATGTTTTATTTATAAAATTTAATATGTAATAACAAATTATATTTTGTATAAATAATAGCAGATAATTGATAATGTGATAATTATTCTTTGACACACAAATAATAAATACAAATATTATTACTCAATTAAAATGGTATATGTTCAAAAAATAAAAAAGTATTTTTCACTTCTAAACTAACAAAAAACCGCTTGGATAAGGATTTATAAAAAATTATAAAATCTCGTGATGTATTTTATCACATCTTTACTTCTTCCTCTAGATGTTTGTTTTCTTCATTAGCTACAGGAATTCGAAAACCATTCTGCCATCCTAGCTGGCTCAGAATCACTTCTATGTTAGCCATCGCCATATATTAAAATATATATAATTATATGTCATTAACTATTCGTAACAATTTCTAACACTGCAGCACACTGCAGTGCTGGTCATGTTCTGCTGATGAGATTCAATGTTTGCATCTGATCACCATAGTAACCGAGAACTATGCCAAAATAACAATGATATAAGTAGAATCTAATTTACTTATAGAATCTAGCAACAGATATTTGAAAAAAACTGTTGTATTAAAAAACTTAAAAGCTTAAAAGAGAGTAATTGAAATGCATGTCGTTATTATATAAAATAAAATTATAAGAGAATATTGGTACATTTTGTTTTTCTCAATCCAAATAGAGAAAAACCAACTTTATTTCTATCTTGGCAAATTTTATCCACATTTGCAACAATGAGTTATATCTTTATATATATAATTTTTTTTTACAATTGCGCAATTTACGTACAAGAAATATTATTGCTAAATTACACAGATTTTAACTTGGTTCTTGCGTAGTTATTAATTTTAATAACTACGCAGGAACTAAGCGTATTAACAAAATGACAAACTTTACGTTAAAAATTCGACTTGAACAATGATCGTCCTTTTCTAATATAGAAACAACACATTTAACTATATCCCACTTTTCCTACGATAAATGTTTATAATACATTTGTAGAATATACAATTTCTAACAATTGTACGAGTAACAATTGTACGAGTTTTTCATATTTCACGGACATAATTTCTTCTCCGACTATTCAGAAGCGTAACATTATTTGCTAGCAAATGATTCGATCTTGAAATTTGTGGTTTCTCTCACCAACGCAGGAAAAGAATCCTGTGAATAAAAATTGAATTATATTTTTAGTATTATAATAACATATCGTAATCCAAATGCTCGTACAAAGCGGGAATTATACATAAATTTTTCATTATGCACGATTAATGAAATTAAAATAATTATTGCGAACAGATCGAGTAACAGCGATCAGTTTTCGAGATGTCTTCTGAAATTATTTATAATCGCAAAGAATCAAAATCAAATCACTGATTTATAACCGCGATTAAAATGAACACCAATGTGCATAAATTATTGTGAATATTTTGCAGTTATGAAAATGCCTCGCAAAGAAATCTCAATCGTGTATAACGATAAATATCTATAATAACCATTTAACGTGTTTAGCATAAAGTATTTATAATAACAATTAACCTCGGTCGTGTATTGACCCAGAAACAGTGCCAAGGTTCAACCTAGCTTTAGTTGCATCGGCAGTTTCATCGGGCTTTCAACGAGTGTAACATACTTTGGCACAAAATCAAAAAATGCACTACAGAGTATTCTTATGTTTCAATACATTGCATTGTTTGAATACCACGTCTATGCCTGTTCATCGATATTTAAAGACACGATCTTGACATTCTCAATTATGATCATATGAATGACACAAAAGTATAATATCAAATATATAAATACTTACATATATATTCGAGACAGTAGAAATGCACGAAAATTATGAAAAATGTATAAAATCTAGATTTTATCTCCCGGAACATTCGACAGTCTTATACAATAATAGTAAAAAAAGGGATGAGAACTGCGTCTAAAAAAATAAATTGCACTAAGAAAAAAAAATCCGTCGTGATATTCTAACAATCTTATCCGTAATTGGAGCACGAATACTCTATTACATATAAATGTATTATAATATAACTGAATATTCTATATCAAATAATTTATACATCATTGTTTCAAGTCTTTAGTATGTAATAATAATATGACGTTCATATATATATTGACGATTAGAATCTGTACAAATATTGGTCATAATTGTGTATAAAACATGACAATGATATTCCAACAGCAAAATAAAAATTCGCAACAATCAGATTTTTCTATAGACACAGACACACACATTATCTTCATTTTATTTCCTAAGTTATTAGAGACGTTCATTTTCTTCGGCTTCCGTATCGCCGCCCGCTGTATCTTTCGTTGTTTCATTTATGTGTCTCTCCTCGTCACCGACAGTGGAGACTTTAGTATGAGTCGAATCATTCCAGGGTTGAATTTCGGCCGATCCGAACAACCAAAAGAGTACTGTGGCCGACGTAAATACTATCGCCGAAATCCAGAACATTATACGCCATTCTTCTACGCCGTTCTGTAATATATGTAAAATATAAAATTTAAGGATAATTAAAATAAAAATTAGTATAAACGGTATTTGCAGTTATTATAACTCACAAATAAGACAAAATAATGTTATAAATATATTATAAAAAATTTAACTATTTTACTTTTTTCTCGAATAATTTCTGCATCAAAGATTAGACAATTTTGCTTTATCTATTAACGTAACGTTAATATTTTCATACAAAAGAATGACGTACCCTTTCATTGGTTAAAATGCCAATAATGGGTGGAATAATAAATCCGGGAAAACTACCGAACGTATTCATAATTCCATATAAAGAACCGGCATAGTTCGGTGCCAAATCCTGGTGATTCTGTAAACTAGTCTGGCATGCGGCTCCATTGAAGGCCAACGCCAGTATTAACATTATTATCGCAGTTGTGGCATCACAACCTACATATGTCATCACTACCAGACAAACTGCAGGTCCCATATGAGCTATTAACAGTCAAGCAACAATTATCTGTTAGATAAGAATTACCTATTGTATATGCATATGCTACAATACTTCAATTCTCAAGTTAAAATAGACGCGATTATTCCGAATTACTTACAGAAAAGCATAAATATCTTTCTTATCCAGCCTAAGGACAAGAAATTCCTCCTTCGCACGTAATCGCCCGCTGCTGCGAATAACACTCCAGCGCCCAATCTAGCTATGTAAGGCAATCCAGTTATCGCGCCACCCTACAACACATAGAGCAGTAAGAACATCTTTAGTAATGCCTAAAAAATGCAACATTTTTCGCAAATTAAATTTGTCAGGAAAATAGTACCGATTTCATATTGAAGCCAAGAACTTCTAACGTGTATTTGGGTCCGTTTGTAGCGATGAAATATATACCCCACATATTTGCAAAGTGAGCCCACAGTAATACCAAGAATGGCGGAGATGTAATGACTGCCTTCATGGGTAATCGGACCTGTGTAACATATCAATATTTGTATCGTATAATTTTTTCCTATCTTTTAGTAGTTTTTGTTTGACGGAGAATGCTTTTCACACAAAATGCTTGATAGCATTTATCTACGCACCTTTTGTTTCGAAACGGTAGTGCCTATCTGTTCTCGTATGTATGTTTTCTCCTTTTCTGTGATCCCCGGGTGCGAATCCGGTGTATCGTATATTAGAAATACCCATAAAGCGTAAAAGACTAACATAAGCCCGCTAGTCACGTAAAACGCAGTTTTCCACCCGTAAGCACTGATAACCGCGCCACATAAAGCAAACGTCACAACAGTTCCGAACGGACCACCTTGAAAAAAGCAAAAACAACACAAGCAAGTTAACATATTTTCAAGAATTTTCTATTAAAAGGAATAAATAAGTAAATAAGTAAAAGAAGGATACCTTGCATGGTCCACACAAACATGCCCTTTTCACCAGGAGGCACCCATCTTGCTATCATTGCGTGGAGAGCGGGATAAACGGCACCCTGAAAAATACATGTTATTATTACTACAGATTTATATATCCGATTGGGAAATATGAAATTTAGTTAAAATTAATCATATCAAGGAAAAATTGATACCAAATTTTTTCAATATTTACTAGTAGAAGAAACATGTTCAATTAAACGTAAGCAAAAAATTAAAAAGACGACAAATATTAAAATAAAATGTCATTAGATATAATATATATATATATATATATATTTTAAAATATGAGGAATTTCTATAGGTTTATTGAAGTAACAACGTCACATGTAAGATGAATAAATGACTTACTCCGAAAAATCCCATTACAAAACGAAGTGCAAAAACGAAACCGTAGTGAACGGTGGCAGCCCAGGGCATCAAAAGATTTAATACTGCGGGTATCAATGTGGCAAATCTGTTGTAAAATTAAATGCTGATGAAAATTGCAAATAACCGTTGCTAATTATTAACTGATTTCGACTATATACTTACGCCACTACTTTAGAGCCTCCGTATTTTTCGGCCAAGATTCCAGCTGGCACACTAGCCGGCAAAACACCATAAAAATATCCCGACAGTAACATTCCTTGAATGTGTTGATTCCACTCGAAGCGCTCCCCATACTAAAATATAAGAAGAGGCATATTTATAGCTTTGCGACCCTTTCTACACAGTAGAACAATTTTATTATATAAAGACCATGTTTGTGCAACAATGCTTGTAGCAGTGAGTCTATAACATGCAATAGTTACATGTATAATACGTTCACCCGCTCAAATTTCACGAACATGCAACTTACATCTTGAACCACGATGGTCTTATTGCTTTTTAAATCCGCGCTGCAGGCTGGACCAACGCCACCGTCTTTGCTCGTAGCATTTACCATGGCAACGATTGTTATGGACAAATTAGTACGAATGACGTAGGAGAACATACAAGCCAGGAACATCATTGCCCCCAAAATTCCTCTTCGAGGGATCTTCTCTGCAATATAATATATTACGTATATCACATATTATGTAAATGTTGTAAAGAGTCTCATGGGATAACTAACAATTTGCCAAATGCAACAACATTTTTATCATTACCATCGTAGGTATTAAACTTCTTATTAAATCCTAATTTATTCTTTGAAATACTCGTGTGCGTCCATCCTTAAATACAACACGAGTATAAATACAATGTGTTATAAGACGCCCCTATAACTCGGAGTCAAGAATCTGACCTTTGAATTAGCGTGTTATACCTAATAATTTTAAATCAAGAATGAATGACGTATCTTCCACAGTAAACATGTCGAGTTCCGATAGATATATAACTTGAAAACAATGTAATTGCAGTTGCATACTCGTCATGTAATAATGTTGTAACAAAAAATAAGCACTCCAATATAAAATAAGATTAAGAAGGTATTTTTTGCAGATATTAATTAATTTGCCGGCTAGTGTGCCAGCTGAAATCTTGGCCGAAAAATACGGAGGCTCTAAAGTAGTGGCGTAAGTATATAGTCGAAAAATAACGAAATTATTTTTCTCATTTTCAATAAAATTTTAACACGCTTTAACATATCATCAGTATTGTTATTAATTATTGCTTTATTATTTATTACACTTTATTATTTATTGTTGCTTAGTGAATAATACTCAATCATATAGCGCTACTTGTTAATTTATAGCGTTTATCTAAAAATTAATTTAGTGGTGCGATGAAATGAAATGAAATACGTATCTTTATTAACGTTCATTGTTCACAATGTACCCAAGTCCACCAAAAATAAGCAAGGTTAATTAGAAATGCACTCAAAATGCAATTTGTTGCTATCTGCAGTCAATCTTGACCATATTTCAAGAGAATCTCGTACAAGAAAAAGCATTAGCGTTATAAACTTCAGAAGGTTACACAGTACGTGCCTTACGTGCCTACTCGAGTAATTAAGCTTCTCTCTTGTATATTAAGGATTGCATGTATAGTCATTGAATTGCTGATAATCACGGAGTACAATGAAAGGGAATCAGATCGATAGTGTGCTGCTTCGCGTGTTATAATATGAACTTTTCTCATCTTTCTATCGCGCGATTTGAGATTTTCATTTTACGAATCCATTCGATTTTCGATGAAAGATAAAACTGACCTGGTTTAACTTCACCTTCGCATTTTAATATGAGCAATCATCACTGCTATATGAATCGTTGCCAAATAATCGTATAGCGGTTACAAAATTCGTCCAAAAATTTGAAGTCTTTAGGGTTTTTAGTAATAATTTGATGAAAACTTTAATTCATATTAATGAACTTATCGCTACTTTTTAATTTTTAATGTGAAAATAGCTTGGTAGATGGATCAGACTCTATTTTTTAATTAGTTTTAAGGACAAATATTGTCTATATTATCTCTTAATCCTTGGCATTGTAACAATTATCATTATTCTTGAATAGAGAAATTTAATATTTGTAGAAAGAAGTATAAAGCCAGTGAATACTTCAATGTAACGTATTTCATTTTTATGCATCAATATTCTGTTTATATTGTAAATCGCAACTACTAGACTGGGTGATTTCCGCGTTATTAATTTCCGACAGCAAGATCAAAGAACTATAAGAACATAAAATTAATGTAGGTAGGTGAATTTATCATCGATGAAAAAAACGCAGAAAAAATTGCATTATTTACATGCGGTATTTACAGATGCTGACATAATGTTATATGCAAGTACAACTTAAAAAAAAAAACATAAAATCATTACGCAAAACGTCAAGGCAATATTTCAAATCATTGTACTGTCGAGTTGCATAATACATTTATTTTTATTACGTATGATAATTACGCGCCAACAGGTCGAATGTCAATCGCGATAATACGAAACTTCCTAGAAAATATTTTCGTTTGATCGGCGAGGCTATCACATTTGCAATATAATATTTCAGGTAATTCCGGATGCGTCTAAAAGTTATTGACCTCATTAACGAGCCACTTAGCGGTTGCGGTAAATATAGTATGTTCAAGATCTCTATGCGTCGCGATTGATTCCGATAAATCATCCGTCGTACAAGTGTTGATCGCGTTTTTTTTTGTCTTGAGGACGGAAAATGTGCCAGCGTTGGATGACCGTGGACGAGCAACCTGCCTGTCACGTAGGTCTATTTCTGCAAGGTGAACTGCGCGAAATAGCAGCTCGAGTTACAGGTAGTTTGTACAAAGTAAGATACGTGTGGACGAAATGTTCGGAAAAATACTACGCATTGCATGTAACGGATGCGGCTGTATAATGTGATGCGTGATGTTTGTTAATTTATCCGTTTCGATCAGAATGATATGTCGTAAAATCGTACATATCCGATATCGTGTACCTAGTTATCTCCGCTTGAGATTTTGCATACATAGGCATATAGGCAATTACATAATGTTTATCATTTTCGATGATGCTTATCACTTGGGAAAAATTTTGTAACATAAATAGAAAACATGAAAATATCGTGCATATCGTTGTGAATATTTACAGAAATTACGTTATAAAATTTTCCTTGCAAACATCGAGAGAATCACTTTTCATATTTGTAAAAATAAAATGTGTGCCAAAAAAGTTTCATGTAAGCAGAGGCATGTACAGATTGAGAAAAATATTGATACACGATGTGTGCTAGACGTTTCCAATTATGATTGAAATTTGATTAACTTAATGTGTTTGTTATTCCTATTCTATATTTAACTACGGAAGAATGTATGTGAAAGACTTCGGAATTTGTTGACCAAAGTCCGAAGAATATTGATCGATATATAAATTGGCGGCGATACTGAAAACATCTCGAAAATTCATCGAAAATATTTCAGAGCAAAAATTAAGATTCGTGTATTTATTCCTATTTATATTCTGTTGTTTCGAACATGCAGAAGGATATTTATGTAAAAATAGTGCTCTATTAGTATACAAGTACAGTTTCGTGTATTTAAGGATCGTGTTATTTATCATCGTTAAATAAGTCGTTTGAACAAAATTTTATTTAATGATAAAATTAATAAATCAAAAAATCTGAAAGAAAAAACAAAATAAAAATCGACAAAATGGATCAAAAGTTATGATAAAGTAATAAAAATAATTGATCAAATTGTGATAGTCGCATGATTAACAATTATGAATTGATAAGTACTTACCGTTAAACTTCCGGAAGAGAGCCATTTTCGCTACTTGCTACGAACGAAGGACTGTGTTATCAGCGTGAGAGCGAGATGCGCGTGATGCTGGTGAATAGGAACAGATATTCCCTCCACTTTCGATCTTTTCTGCGAGGCGCGGATTCTCGTCGATCGGCGGTCGACTTCGCGACTGAGGGGTCGCGGTTTGCTCTTTTCGCTTTTCGGTATTCAATCGATTCGCCAACTATTGGCTCGACCACGTTGCGTCATACCGTCCCGCGAGTTCGAAGTCGATGGACGCACGACAGTCGTCACGGACGACGCTCCTCCACTTTTGCCTCCTACACGCGTGACGTGCGTTGACGTGCTCGACACAGTATTCTTCGGGATGATCACGAGAATGCCTGAAAAGCACGCGGTATCACACATGTAGAACATACACCAACGTACGAATTCTATATTTAAATTGCCGCTGCAATATTAGAATCATCCGTGTTTGCGCAATATCATAGTGCGCATAAACACGTGCTAGACCGAAAAAGCATAACAATATGAACTCTTTTAACTGGAGCGATGCGAACCTGAACAATCCTTGTGTAGTATGATACATTATTCACTTCTTAAGAGAAAACCTTTGATATCTTTGGTGAAATTCTTGATTGAAAATATTGCTGGAGAAACATATCGAAAATTTTTATTTTCTTTCCTTATTTTATAAAATAAATATATTTTTTAATATGAAAAAAATGCAAGACACATTTATATGATATATCTTCACCGCTCCAGTCAAAGTTAATAAAATTTTATTGATTCTCAAGTCTTCATGATAATTGCTGGAATTGCTCAAGCTTGCACAATGTAACGCGCGCACGCCATGACTGAAAAAAAATTGATGGTGATGAAAATTGATTGCAATTTTTAGGAAACTATGAATCACAAGATAATGAATTTATTTAATAACAATTGGGAAATAATTTGTTAATTGGCACGAACGTTTTGATCTTCAACATTATGTAATTATCCATTTCTACGAAAATAAATCATAAACGTTTTGCACGATAGGGGAAAAAGGAGGGGGGGGGTAGAAAAGACGCCAGACATAACTACTCTAGAAACTAAGTTTGGCAAAACTTTAATACTCGTTTATAAGTCTAGTCCGCGTTATAAAAATAATTTCAAGATTTTTATTCAGAACTCGATGTCCGTTGACACTGCGTTTTTAACACTTGATCTTTTTATCCATGTTTTAATCTTTTGTTTGCTGATTCCACATCAAGCTTCTGATAAGAAAAGCATACCAAGCAAGTTTTGTACTTACAATTAGTTTCATGTCACATGGGAATACGAGCCCTTGTCTCTAATTACAATTATAGATAGTTACATCACGTGCTATCGAATGACTTTTTAGATAAATTATTGATATATAAGCAATGCTTCATCATATTTCACAAGCAAGAAATAATTAAACAATCATTTGCTATAACTATTCATTATCAATTCTTAATACTGGTAATATTCTTTTTTCATTTCTTGTTAATTCTAAATATCACACTTTTCATTTTAGAATAATAAATGCAAACAATTTAATCTTAAAATTCATAAAAAACTGAGTTAGATGATCTTTGAATCCTTCAATTATTCAACATTCTTTAACTGATCATTTGCTTTCTATTACCAGAAAGACTCGATTTCAAATTGCTTTAACGAAATACTTCTGAATACAAATATTGTACTCATAAACATTATTTGACGTATAAACCATTTCAATTACATATCTGAGGACAACTGATAAAATTTATCGCAATTCGTTGGCGTTATGACACGTTTTGACATTTGCGCACAGCTGTCTATGTTCCGAAATTTCAGTTATCTCGATTAAGTAAGAAGTTATCAGTATCAGATAATTTTGCAAACGCAGAATTCATAATAATTTTCGTACTTTCGTCAAAGTTAAGTTGAACATTTCGATCTATTTGACTCTCGCTTACGCGAAATTATCTGCATGCCTGTGCAATACGCGTATAATAAACGTGTAAATGCAAAAAAAAACATTACATCACTCGTCAATTTTCTCATGCAATTATGGCAGTTGTCGATAAAATTAGCGGAAGGAGAGAATCAAACAAGTGAAATTTACATTAAAAGTTAGCAAAAAAGATTATGGTCTTTTTCGACAAACACATCAATGTAAACTTTTTACATTATTCTTTGGCTTTAATTCTTAAAACTTCCTAATCTTCCTGAGAAAACCACATTTATCGATCTTTTTTTGTTTTTTAGAAATTTACCAATCCATATCCACAAAAATTTCATATTCACGATTCATCTAATGCAAAAATTTATTATTTTAATACGTATATGTATTCGTCAAATAATGTCGTTAGCACACTTTGGTTCGTGAAGTAACTTTTATTTTTTTCTAAACTTTATTAGTATTTCAACGAAAGCTTTATATTTACGATTTGTAGTAAAATAAAATTTAAATCCGATAAGTCATATAATAATTCGCCGTTCTTCACGTTGTTTTGTCACGCGGTGAGATATACAAAATAGATATAATTATATGTAAGGAAAACTTACATTGCATGCATTTTTTCAGAATATTCAAAGGTAATTTGACAAAACAAATTAGACGAAAGAAACTTCTCTATACGCTAATTCAACGTGGCAAAATCATCCGTCTAATTTTGCTTCAGTAAACAACAAAGTGTAATATGATTTATGAATGTTGAAAGACAAAATTGAATGCTAATGGAAAAAATATGAATATAAATATTGTGATGTTTGATTAATTGTTGAAAACACAAAAAAATTATCAATTTTTTCATACTACAAAACTTCAATAATTTTCTTCAAGCTATATTGTAATTTGAATACAATTTTGTTTAATTCCAGCAATAATTCCTCGAGAATTTAATATTGCTACAATACTGCTCACGCCGCGTCGTTCTTTCTTTCATCAAAGCAAGTCTAACGATTGAACGTAATGGGCGATCAAAGGTCCCGCTGATATTACGAGTAAAAGACTTTCATGTGTGAACCAGTAGCGTGAATCAAATGACTAACCTTAACCTGCAATTCACGACTTTTCTTCTCCTTTTCTCTGTTTGTTGCTCATGGGAAATTGCGCGCGAAAACGGCTTGCAGGGATCGATAAATTGCAAGGAGACAGGACCTCCGGATAGAACGCGCAATTGAAACGAAAAAAACTGACACGTGTATTTCAATGCAGTGTTCGTATTTTGATTTAATCGATCACGAGGGTGTCACGTCGATGCTTGGACTATGAGTAAGAATTTGCGCCTCGTTGGAGAAAACCGGCGAAACGTTTCAATGCGTTTGCAAACAGCACTACACAACAAATAACACGAACGGTTAAAATACGACTGAAATACCTGGAATAAGATGCTTTTACCGCGGCTCACAGTTGCTCCCTTTCGCCACAAATGTGAATTACGATAATATGACGTGTCGGTATAAACGGTGCCGATAAAGGCGGTAATCGATAAGCAGTAACAGCACCAGCAACGTTTTAGCAGAATGAGGTAATAAAATTTTACAAACATTTGTGTACATCGCGGATACTGGAGGAGTATTATAAGAGGATGCTGCTGGCAGATTGATTTTTCAAATTGTCTGTTGTTTACTTATTTGATTTAAATGTGATAGAAACCAAAAGGTTTTATTTTTCTTTTTATATAATGTTTAAAATTCCTTGATATATCACATGCTAGCAATAGATTTTGGAAAAATATTTAAGAAATAAATGTAATTTAAATGTAAATAGCAATGATAGTTAAACGAAAAACGATTATGTGCTTTTTATATGCATATTAAGTATTTTTATAAGTTTTAATATAAAGAGAGAAATGTAATACAGGTTAATATATCTATAATAATCATTTGCAAGGTGTTCCATTTTATATAACAATGCAACATCTTTAGGAAAAAAGTTTCAGATGAAAGTTGTACAATGTAGTATTTATATGATTATATTAATTTTATAATACATATACTTATTTCATACTATCCGATTATTATTGTATTGAGTTTAATTTATTTTTGTACTATCACAATATTGTCTCTATGTACAGAAAGCCATCCAAGTTAAATTAAAATACATTTCTGCAAATAGGACAAGTAGATTTTTGACTGGTATTGAACCATTTATACTGAAAGAGAAAACGACATATATATTATATATTATATATTAAGTGTTGTAAGTAAATAATCTCAATGTAGTGCATACATACCAAGCAGGGAGTGTGAAACTTTTTACGACAAGTGTGACATGACAATTTTGGTATTTGATATGTGCTAATATGGAAAATACTAAAGCATATATAGCACTCTTCCACGCCTGCAAATTTCTTATCCAAATTGCGTTTCCACATTACGAGACCATCCCAAACAGAGCCATTCTTTAAAAGAAAATATAGATATATACATCTTTTCAATCTCTTATAAATTATTACATGTAATACGAGTAATAAAACAATAATACAATACTTGATGTGTGAGAAATATAGACAGTTGCATATGACAGTTTCTCCAGTTTGCTGTACCACCTGCGTGTTGACCAGGTTCTACCTTTACTGTACCTAAGGGATGATTGGTCGGTAGTACTATGCTTAATTCCAATTTTGTATCATCCATTTGATACAAAGCCACTACTTCTCTTGCTGTTGGATGTACCTTCACCTGAATCAAAATCAAATGTATGAAATTAAATGATCAATTTTGGAAGAATATAAAAGTCAATTCCAACGAACATACTTGCATATTTTCCACATTAACCAATCTATTATTAAGAAGCTCTTCTTGGCAAAGCATAGGGCTGACATAGTGACTTGTAATCTTGTCTATTGTTGCGCTGACTCTGCTGTCAGCGGTACTCAGCCATTGTCTAACTAATACTGGTAGATGTCGCAAACAATTTGTATACAACCAACATACAATGTGATCTAATCTCCACTCTGTCCAACTTTCTATAATGTTACAATGTGATATAAAATTATTCTAGTAAAAGTATTATAGTTTACACAATGTAATCACATGCATCTATATTCATTGCATCTTTATATACATATATGTGCGTAAAGATGCAATGTATAGGCGCAATGAACTAATCTTACCTCCAAAATTAAACGATGGAACAGTGGTAAATATTTCTACCAATTTTACACTCTTATTTTTGTTATCTTGCAATACTTCCACAGGCATCAACTTGAAGATATTGTTCAACAGACAAGGAAAAAGATCACTTCTAAAATTTATAATATACATTTAGTGAAAAATGTAAAACACAAACTGTGAAAATAGTAAAATATTTACTTCAGTATTTCAGCATATTGATATCGTAAATCACCATGAGCGTTTGCACAAATATTTAGCACAATTGCCCACACCAGCAAATACCCCAATGTATATGTATAAGAATCTGTAAACGGTTGGATCGTGCAGCTAACTGTATCACATAATCTGAAAAAAAAAAAGACAACATGTTAAAAGATAGAATATCATTCTCTATCAAGATTTGACACAAGTTGGTAACTTACTTGAACTCCATAAGCATCGTATTCACAATAGTCTGCGTGTCTAATAACACTTGTTCGAGTTTTTTAATATTAAGATTGCTCGCTTCAAAATTGTCAGATTCAACAAGAACCTTATCCTGCTGTACAAGTTCTGATACCATACACTTTAACGCGTGATAGGCACCTAATTGAATGCTAGGTATAGGAGATTGTAGTAATTTCACAGAGAGTTGTAACATCTTAATTATTTCAGTGTCTTTGTTAGGTTTATTGAATAATATATTTTTGTCGAGTATACTGATTGTTTCTCCCAAATAATCTAACAGCACAATGGACTTTATATTAGTTGCATCTTGATTGTACAAGTCCGCGCAAAACATCCAAGCTTGAGTAACACCATTATGTATGTCGCCAGCAAATACGTTTTTCCATTCTCCTAATAATCCAGAAGGTAATCCTGATATCGACTCCTGCTCATGTTTGTTCATTAAAGTTTGAAGTGCACAGTACAGTTGGCTAAGTCCTGTCACAAATGTGGTTACTTTAATATCGGTGTAATTACGTTTAGACTTGTTAAGTGACCGTTGCCACATTGTAAGAGATATCAAAATCAAGTCCCAGTGTTCTTGTTTCAACTTTGATGGAACTTTTTGAACGAGTGTCTTAAGTAATCTTATAACTTCCAAAGGCAAAAGCAGTTGATTCCATGAAATTTCAGAAATATCATCATCTACAAGTAACAGTGCGGAATGTTTTATATCGTAATGCAACGTAATCTTCTTCATAATATTCTCCATGTGTGTGAAACTGTCATCTTTCACACACATCATAATCCTGGCGGTAATTAACATATAAACATCATTATCTATTAATAACGGAATATTTTCTGGCATCCAATAATCCCTTAAGATTTGAATTGCTTGCACGTACAATTCCTCGTCAAGCTCTTCTCCATTATTCCTGAGATTTTCGAAAAATTCCGCAGGATTTTTACTTGCTTCAAATTCGACGTAATACGTACGAATTATATATGGTAACATATATCCGTAATTCGTATGATTTGTTCGTATGTGAAAGAGTACATCATTACGGATATTCTTTGCGTAATATTTTTGCAAGCTGACAAAACTGCTTTTGAGTGAATTAAGAAGTCCATTAACGTCATTGTAATGTTTGGTCGACTTATAATGTTCACTATATATTTCTGCTACACTAGCCACATATATGACATTTGCCAATATCTCTGTAATTCCTGGTAAATTTAAATCGTACGATTCAACATTTTCTTCCGTGTCCGCGGGTGTATCGATATCCTCAACATTAGAATTTGTTAGTCTCTTGTACAGATTATTAAACAAATCTGTGGTGAATAAAGCCCATGACAAACAATTGGCCGTATTATCCGAAATTATAACGCTCCTTATATCAATTGACGCACAATGCTGAAAGATCCGTATCTTGTTTTCAACATTTGATATGTGTAAATTGCCTGTTACTATCTCACCATATATCGCAATAGCAGTTGCTTCTGTAATCCATAATTCGATATCGGATGCCGTTAAAAATAATAGAATAGTTTCTTCAATGCAATGAGATGTTATGTCATTATTGCTAATTATAACTTGTAAAACATCTGTTGCTAAATCCACCAGTATATCTCTAACGTGACTTGCATGTGTGTTATATATTTTGCTCCAGATAATAACTGCACATCTTTGAATAAGGTCATTAAATTCAAAGTCCGATAATAATCGACTACTTTTTACAAGTCCCTTTTTCCAACTATCACGTACAGTATCAGTCATTAAATCGTCATGTTCACGAGTGCACAATTCAAAAAGTGTTTCCAATATTTGCACAGCATTTGATATTATTTTCTTGTGACTCCATATTAGAGTCATCAGGTTCGTAATAAATGCAACAAATTTTATGGAACAAGTGTCATCCATTCCGTTTAACGAATCACAAAGAATCGCGACAATCTCATTTGCTCCTTCCTCATTTATTAATAAATCTTCAGTTTCCGAAGTGTCAAAAGCTAATAAAATCAAATTCTGATTTTCTTCCATGTCAGTATGTTCAGATGAAGCAATTTCTTTAGCTACATCAATTAGTAGCTTGGTTACACTAGTTTGTGTATACCACTTCTTTATTATGTGATCATTTCTGTTACATTTAGATAAACTGCAATGTATGGTTTTTCTCGTTATCGTAATATCATTCAATGCAATCAATGATTTTAATACTTTATCCTTTTCTACATCATTTATATATATAATAAAATAGAATATTAATTCAACAGCTTGCCGTATTATTTCTGATCTTTGCGATAATAAAGGTTTCAGACTTTTATCATAAAATTCAAAAAAGTCCTCATCAAATTTAAATGATTTTGAAAGAGCAACGAATAATTCTCTACTTGAAAAATATTTCATAAGTTTGTTCAGCTGCCCGATATATTCCACAGATTGCTGCTCATTAATCTTATTGAAGTAAATTATACAGAGTGCATTTATAAAATCGTTAAGTTCCGCGTTGAAAACTACATCTGTTGAAATATCGGTAATCTTTATCTCCGGTTGACTCACAAAAGAATCATTTGCATCGGAAAATTTTACTTTTAACTTCTTACGGGAGCGATCTGGTGCATTTTTTAAAGTCAGCAGGAATTCGATTTGAGAATCTTTCGCGTCTATCACGATATGTGACACTGTAATCCCCTGTGGTATATTCATACTTTTGTCAAACAACAACTGCAATTCGATCCAAAATTGTTGCATCAAAGAAAGATATGATTTATATCCATCATTATTACGATTTTTACTCCAGTACCGTATCAAGTGTGTAATCTCGGCAAAGCAAAATTGTTTCATGGAAATGTTATCTGTCATACATGCTTCTATAACGGGCATAAGCTGTTCTTTCAGGAGCAGAATACATAAATCTACATTTTGAGCGTTTACGAGAATTGAATAACGTAGGCATTCAACAAAAGATGTTACTACAGCCAGTGTTTCCGAGCGGCTCATTTGTACACTTTTGACAGAAAATCCTTGGCGCATATTGTCAAAAAAATTCGTATACAGATTTTCGATATTGACATTTAACTTCGGAAATTGACTGACAAAAGGCAGTAGATTCGGATAAACAGTGCTGGCACAGCATTGACCGCCGGATCGTAAAACGCGCCATAATTTGGGGAGCACAAGTTTATCGATATTTACAACAAGATGCCAATCCTCGATTTTAGTTGTAGCTACGAGCATCGATTCCCATACAGCCGATAAAATTCCAGGTTCAGATTCGTCAAGACTATTCATAATAGTAGTCACTGTTCTTTTTTTTTCATTTTGTAATAGTTTTTCCGCATTTTCCATTATTGACGTCAATAGATTGAAAAAAGCTGTTTTTATTGGCAAAGCATCATGTTTAGCCAACTTCCAAAACTTGGAACTGTTCAAGATTTTATTGTGAATCTCCAGGGTTTTGTCGATTTCTTCACGTGGAACTTTTCTGAAATAAGAACTGTATCCTTGTAAATTTGCTACCAATACTCTTTCATATTTTGCTTCCATTTCTTCATTGGTAAGCGACTTTTGCGCGGATAACGTTTGAGCCGTGTGCACAGTAATATTGTTGCTAATATGTAGTAAAATTTCACATTGGCAATGAACAATTGCATCAACTATTTTTCTGGCTGAGAATGTATTGTTAAAAGAATTAGTAGCAGCTGAAGCTGCTGGAGGATATGTGTCATATTGAGACGTAAACCAAGCACCAGCCAATTGTTTCAAATACATTGCTATACCTTTGCCTATACGTTTAATAACAGCTGCATGTGCCAGCTGTGTAACTTCTCTTACTCTATGATCTATATCGATCGACAGGACGCAATACAATCTTGGCCAAAAGGGCAACATGCCTTCTACTGCCGATAATTCAGCATCTTGACATAGAGCTGCAAATTCTTGCAATGCCTGTGAATATTTTTCTGTCAGTTTAGCTTATAAAATTAGTTTATTTAAACCAATCAATAAATAAATCAGAAAACTTATTACCTTATATTTTGTTGTAGCATCCTTTTTGCTCATCTTTTTCAACACTACTTGAAAGTTTGCATCTACACTATTCATTTCTATCTCATTTGAGGAACATAAAGATAGACCGGGTAAAACAGGAACATATCCACCATCTTTAACTGCTGAGAAACCAACAAAACTGGGCGTTGCAGTCCCCAAAAGTTCTGCACTGCGACTGCTATTTGACGGCTAAAAAATGACACAGCATTGTATGATACTTTAAGCATATTAAAGCAATATAATATGAAAAAATCCATTAGTAATGTATAAATATTATAATAATCAAATTATTTCTGTTATAATCAAGATATTTCCAATTGTCGTTTGTAATGACATATGTCAATGAGTGCTTTCCAGCAAGCACAGATAGTGATTTGCTTATTCGGCAATTATAAATCTATGTATTTTAAAACCGTATTAAAGACAATTTTGAATGTAATATCGGATTATAAAAACCGTTTTAAAAGCTGACTTGTGTTTCTTGTGTGCTGGAAAGTACTCAATAAAAATATTTGATAACGCCTATAGAGGTTATATATTAAAATCATTGCACATGTACATCATTATATTCTTATAATTGCGTGTTTATATTTGTATTTACCCGTGCATTATTCTTGGTTCGTTGAGCTTGCTTATGTTTACCCATATTGATGTTCTGAGTAAGTTTTCAGTAATTTAAGAAAGTACGAAAATTTCAGATTGTTTCCACACTGGATATCACGTTTGCATCAGCTGACATGTTAACCTCAAAACTGGTACTCGAGTGTAGCTCACACAACTTCTCTAAAGAATCACGGAACACGAACAGAATTTAATCCGACAAATTAACGACGAACGTAATTGTACGGCCAAATGGGTGTCGGAAACAAAGCCGAACACAGACTACTACTATTGTACTCTTCCTTCACTTGCATCTACCTTCCTGGAATTTTGACGTTAGTGAAATTCAACGGTAATTTATACAATGTCGGCAAATATAAATTTCTACCCGTATTATTGATACTGACGTTCGCCGAAGTGATAAAATTATTGTTTCCTATGCTTCAAACGGAAACGCCTACTATAATAAAAATCGAGCAACGAACCTCACCGAAAACCAAGAAAACCTGGACCAAGAATCTAAGAGAGATTGTCAAGTTTTTGCTCATTGCATTTGCATTGTCAACAGTTTATTATATAATGATTGTGTTATTCGGCGCGCCTGTATTGACTGAGCATGAGGAAACGACAATGCTTGTAATCACATTGCTCATTTTAACTTTTGTTCCTGCCAGTCTGCACTTGGGAGTCGACAGTGCATTGGACGTTTTAATGGGATCTTATTCTCAAAAGAGCAATATTCTTGCGGATGCTTTAAGGATTAATATACAAGGAACGATATTGGGCACATGGCTAGGTGCTACTGTAATCCCTTTGGATTGGGACCGCCCTTGGCAAGCTTGGCCAATTCCTTGCGTAATAGGTGCACTACTTGGTTACTTGATCGCCCATTTTATTACTTTCATCAAGACGCTTCCTGCACTCAAACTGCACAAGAAAGTTCATCGATAACAATGCACACTTGTGTGATTTGATGAAAATCATCAAATTTTGCCAAGAACATTTGTTTTTCAAATCAATTATTGTTTCTTAATTGTTGCTTTTTTGAAATATATTTTTGAAGTATACTGTAATTAGAGACAGTGGAACATTAATGTCTATCTCTGATCCATGTATACTTATTATATGAATGTGTTTTGAATTGTGATATGTTCGGTATATGTGTATGAATTGAGACAAAATTCTAGCATTAGACCTAAATGTCAAGTGTTTTATAAATTATAATAATAATATTTATAATTAAATTCTAGTTTAGAACATTTATTTTATCATTTATTCACCCAAAAGCAAATACTGAAATTAAAAATGTTAAATTTAACAATTTAACATTGATAAACATCTTTACATCATCTTATGTCATCCTTTATCTCATCCAAGTGAGACCTTTTTACTCTTTATATCAGTTATGCAATAATATAATTAATACAATTGCACATACAATTATAAAAATGTATGTTTCATATAAAATATATCCATATTGTATAATTTTGCTCTCCCGATAATTGCTCAACATATAATTTGCTGAAAATTAGTACTTTTAATAAATGCTGGTAGTAAGTGGGATGTAGCATAATTTAAAGCTGACTAAGTCAAGTTTATGTCATAGTAAAGAAAAACTCATAGATGACTTTGAATTATCAAGACAAAACTCATACATGACTATAAATTATTAAGAAAAAACTCGTAGATGACTTTGAATTATCAAAAAAAATTCAGATGACTTTGAATTACCCTTGCATTCTGTTTTCTTTATTATCACGAAGCCGCACTTCTCGCAAGAGTGGGGAAGAACAGAATGGAATAGAAATATAATCGTTGAGGGAGAGAGATCATATAATTCTTTGTTAACGTTTATTTCTTCATTTGTCGTTTAACTCTAAACGGAAGACATTTTAAATTGAACAAGTGTGCAACAAATTTGGAAGAATAATGTCGGACACGGTTGGAAAGGTACTGATTAAAATTTATTTTTGTGAATTTATATTCTAACCTTAAGATTCCATATTCACCGGTTTTTATTCGTCTTGTTAGCATAGTTTCCTCATCATTGTTTAATATTTACTCGAGAATAATCGTTTGCAACAATTTTAATAATGTTAATTGTTATTGCAACAATTGTTTTTGTTAATTGTTAATGTAATAACTATTTTTTAATAATTGTCATTTTAACAATTTTTGTAATTATGTTACTGCAATCTTTGCGGGCAATAATATATACATTATTGCCCAGGGATGACGTCGCGAAATTATAAACATTTTTTATTTTTTTGTTCAATTATACGTGCATCTAAAAATTAATATGTTTTTCTCAAAATATACTTATAATGTATTTAAAATATCTACTTGTGTGATTTTTTATGTTAGTAATATAGAAAAAAAATTGATACAATGTTCCTATAGAATTTCTATAAAATAAATATTGTTGATCAATTTCTTAAAGTGAAGTATCTACGTGTGCTTTAATACTTATTATAACAATAGTTTCTAATAATAATTAATATTCATATGAGCCTATTGGGAGAACATTTGTTATTGGTTCAGGTTATCAAGTGTAAGGCTGCAGTAGCATGGAAAGCAAAAGAGCCATTATCTCTAGAAGAAGTTGAGGTAGCACAACCCAAGGCACACGAAGTTCGAATTAAAATAGTAGCTGTGGCACTTTGTCATACAGATGCTTATACTCTTGACGGATTGGATCCAGAAGGAATATTTCCCTGTATACTTGGTCATGAAGGGAGTGGCATTGTAGAAAGCGTTGGAGAGGGTGTTACTGAATTTCAACCTGGTAAACTGATTTCGTTACATCTACAAAAAATCTGTTTACAAACTATTATATATTATCAACATGAACAAATTTCAGTTTTGCTAAAGAGATTATATCTATTTGACATTTCTTCAATCATATTGTTTTTACACAAATAATTTTTTTAGGTGACCATGTTGTGCCGCTTTATATTCCACAATGTGGGGATTGTAAATTCTGCAAATCATCGAAAACAAATTTATGTAGCAAAATTCGCGAAACCCAAGGTAAAGGTTTAATGCCTGATGGTACATCTCGTTTCTCATGTAAGGGACAAACAATCGCACACTTTATGGGATGCTCCACTTTCTCTGAATATACAGTGGTAGCTGATATTTCTCTCGCAAAGGTATTACATGTCGTTTTCAAAAATTGCTAGGAGAAATACTTTTAATACTGCAAGAACTTGTATTCATACACAATTATTGCAAATACTGTAGATTAATCCTAAAGCGCCATTGGACAAAGTATGCCTGCTGGGTTGTGGAATATCCACAGGTTACGGTGCAGCTTTAAATACAGCAAAAGTAGAGTCTGGAAGCACTTGTGCTATATGGGGTTTAGGAGCTGTCGGTCTCGCTGTAGCATTTGGTTGTAAGAAATCTGGCGCATCCCGTATTATCGGAGTAGATGTTAATCCGGCTAAATTTGAGCAAGGTAAATCATACAAGATTATATGAGACAATAAAATTGCACGAAACTCTTTCATGGAAGTATTGCGGTTTCTTCATAAAACTGCAAAGCATAACAGTTTACATATATTTTTGTATTTGTGAACAGCGAAAGCTTTTGGATGCACAGAATTTGTCAATCCCAAAGATCATGATAAACCTATTCAGCAAGTGTTGGTTGAAATGACTGACGGTGGATTAGATTACACTTTCGAATGTGTTGGAAATGTAAACACTATGGTATGGTATTTGACAATTATTTTTGTTTTTACGAAAAACAATCTCGTTTTATAAACGAAATTTACTTTTCAGAGGGCTGCATTGGAATCCTGCCACAAAGGATGGGGAACGTCCGTAATAATAGGAGTAGCTGCGGCTGGGCAGGAGATTAGCACTAGGCCATTTCAATTGGTCACAGGGCGAGTGTGGAAAGGTACTGCATTTGGTGGATGGAAATCAAAAGAGAGCGTACCGAAATTGGTGGAGGAGTATCTGTCGAAAGAATTGATTCTCGATGAATTTATCACGCATACTTTTCCATTTGAAAAAATCAACGAAGGCTTTGATTTACTGCATTCGGGGAATTGGTAAGTCTACTATATATATTTTGGAAAAGTTTTCTATATATAAAACTGATGACTTGAGATGCATAAAGTTTTGTCTCACCTATTATTACGATTATAAAATTTGTTAAAGTAATACATTTCTATTGCAGCTTGAGAGCCATTCTTAAATACTGATAACGTGGCTTTCTATACTACCAAAATACGACGCGGCCTATTGAAGTACATTTTTATCATTTTTATGATTTATATAAGGAAAGAATGTAGGATTTCCTAACATTGATGTATTCATTCTTTTGCATGTTACATATCTGTATCGAATGTCTTTTCAGAGTCTAGAAGCAATAAATAAATTCACTGTACCATGCTCTCTCATAAACATTTCCCCGACTTCTACAACAATCTTTATTCATAAAGAATTCTTACAGCACATGTACAATACCAATTAAGTGAGATATTTATGGTAGCTCTTGAATGAAGTAAAAATTCTTTACGCTTTGATCAAGTGCATACCTTACAAAAATCATCATGGTACGAAGATCGCTAACGATGATTTTTATTGTATATAATTATGTATATACAATATGCAAGACTCGATAAAACTACATTCGCTTGTAGTTATATTAATTAATCTAAGTCGACAGTACAATAAGTCAGGCGGAATGCAAATTGCGCTCGATGCAGGAAGGAGTATGCGTTAGCTCATTGTGGACGATGTCATTTATCAGTTAAATATGTAGATATATTTTTAAGTGTCATCTACATACTTTAATGCGCAAATTTAACACGCCACTTTCATTAAGGCAAGACATTATGAATAAATCGACAATGATTAAGATACGTTTTGTATAACGAAAAATACAAGAGTACAATTTCTCGTTTACGAAGATAGATGGCTAATAAAATCCATAAAAGTTGCCGCGTATTATAAGTCACCGAAATAAAATGCAAAAATAATAGTAATAAAATAACCCGCGTATTTTGTGACGTACTATTTTGTCTTTGATCAATATGGTGTATTGTTTTCCCTGAATACCTTGCAGAAGGAATGTATGTCGAAGTAAAACGCGTTAGGCTTGCAAAACGAACCACTTGTATCCTAAATGAAATACTTGTAATTTGCATCGGCTACCTCTACGTAAATTGCCTTCTAATGCTAGGGGCATATTCACATAGTCACACTGATCTTTTTTTTATTTTTCTTTTTCTACGGATTATATGTTACTCTAATATCTACGGTGTACCACACACTCTTTAAGTAAAAGTTGTAAGTAAAAATGCTTATAATTACAGTAAATGCAGACGAGTCACGACGTCAAACATTTTCTAGCTTTGTAGAAAACAACTTCTCAATATCGTATGGTAGATGCTGTTCCGATTGCCGGTGTAAAGAATCGTAATCTCTGCAAATCGGGTTCCACGATATAATAAGGTAATAACATATTATTGCACACATTATCTCTATAAGCAATCCCGTACTTGTTAACAATCAACTCGACGTCCTATGGTCGTGATCGAACTGCGGTGTAGTATGAAATAGATCATTAAAGCGAGTACGAAATAGGTCGTTCTTTATTCTGTATATCTTATACTAATCTCATAACGCAGGATGGCTATGAGAGAAAGAAAAAAATAACTTAAAGAAATGTTCCAAGCTTGTCCGAAAGAATGTAATAAATAAGCGGACTAACCGCAAAATTTTCTATACCGCGTTCGGCGAAACACAGCCGAAAGTCAAGTGGCAAGAGCTACGAAAATCTATTTGTCGCAAGTGAATCAACCAAGTTTCAGCGGGTACAAGTGTGACAGTAGCAAAAATCATTTCGCTTCCTTTTCTCTCGTTCTCTTTTCTTTCAATCATTCCTAATTCCATTCGATTGTTGTATTGTTACCATATGAATCGCGATTAGTGTTACGCTCCAATGTTTGCGCGATATTTATTACAATCGATATTAATCTAGCAATTAGAAATCATACGCAGGGTATTGATTTGTATTTTGTCGTTTCATGTAATTTGTGTCATGGTGAGTTCTGGCCGATACAATCGAGTTACCCCGTTTCCATTCCACTGTACTTTTCTGCGTTTCGCGAATCTCTATTTTATATATATATATATATATGCATAAATGATTCGTGATTATATTATTCATAGATTTAGTTGTGCGTGGAGGTACCTCGACAGGCACGCGGCTTGATTCAACGATCGGTATCCATTCGATGCGGCTTGCAGCAGCATTTTCACTCTTTTTCTCACTCCGTCGGCGCAGTAAACCTCTCACACATATACACACATTTTTGGTAATAATTGCGTATTTTCTCTGTACGGATTCTATTGGATATTGCACGGGATTACGATAGCACAAGATCTATTTGCGTTGACTGTGAATGCGCCGCTTGTCGGACATATGCGGATTATTGCACGGGAGGCAAGACATTCGCTACTTTAATGTCGATTGAAATTTCCTAATTGGGACGAAGGACTCGACTAAAGTCGTTATAATCATTCAACAGTGATCTCCGTCGGTTCAGTGTAACTCACTCCGGGCCCGACTTTCTCATGCATAACATAACATAATGATCGTCGTGTTTTTCGTTGCTCTCGGAACTCATTTAGGCTCACGTTTCGTTTATCGCGCGTAAATCGCAATCTCGATAGGATTGACGGGTGACGGGTCGACGACGACACAGAACACCTGATCACAACAGCGGTATTGCCAAAGCCAGTGGACGAGCGAACGCGCGCATCTTCCTTCGCTTTCTCCTGAATTGCACACAGTCGATTATCAGTTAAGATGCTGCGCTCCTGTTGCTGGCCGCCACTCCTAATACATCTAGAAATCTAGAGGTTGATCGGCCGAGCCTTCAAGATCTTGAGCGGAATCGGTACCACCGTCCTCATCATCGTCAAGATCTACGCTGTTGGTCTTGAGTCCACCACTGCTGATTTTATTCACAATCGCATCTGTTTTATCAAAACAGATCTCATTAATTAATCAGAAATATCTCACCGTACTTATCAAATAATTTCATCATCAAACATTTGCCGGAGGCACATTTTTTGCAATTCTCTAATATTTCTGTATTTATTATAAGCGTCAATGTGAAACATACCGCAATCAGGCTTTGCGCCACGCGTTCTGGTACCAGCAAACTCGACACCGTGCGGATCAACGCACCAGCAAAGCCCAAGGCCACGATGGCACTGGGTACTACGATAATATCCTCGCGAATCGCAGGCAGGTGCAGAATCCGACGATGATCGTCTGCGTACAGCGGCACACGGACGTTCGGCTTTGGAGAAACATCCGCACCACTCAGGTCCGCTTACGAAAATATCGCTGAAAGCATGCCATGGTTCGCGTTATGCCATGTGTCTTCCCATCTTTCCGTCAATTTTTACAATTTCTGTTTTAATACAATCGTCATAATATTTAAATCGCATTAAATATACAATTTAATACTATCGATAATACTGATAATAGTAGCCATAGTGAAAATAATGTATGTTAAATTGGTAGAAAAATTTTTTTACGATATAACGTTAAATAACGACATATTATTGATAAAAGGAAAAAAAATATACATATATCAAATAAGAATAGCGGTAATGGCATAACAATAAAAAAAACTTGTGGGATAAATTAAAACAAGAATTCAACCTACTTTTTAGTAGTCAATGAATGTACATGTTCCGACGCAGTAGTAATAGCGTATATTGAGTCAGACAGAATTGCATGATATAGTTGCGCGTTAATAAACTCTTCAAAATGTAAAAGTCAAAAGTATAATTTTATAAAAAAACAAACAGTTTGTTCGTAAAAAAAGCTATTGTGATATTCAATAAAAAATCGACTTGAGGAGTTGAACCGTTAACACAAATAAACTCGGTATAGTCTAATTATATACTGCTATAGAACTTTCGAATTTGTCTACATAGAAGATGGTTCCTTTTTATTTTTTTCAAGTAAGTTATATATTGTTGTACGTGAATTTATCGAT